TTTTCTTGGCTAAATTTAACAATTCAGTGCTACTTATAAACAGTAGATGATATAACAGCGTAAACGGCCGCTGGTTATAGCATATTCAGGCAGGCTCAATGAGGAAACAGATTTAGCTGTGTTTAGTAATAATGGGAGATCCTGTGACTCACAATTTCTTCTTTATCAGAAAGGAGAGAAAAGCTCTGCTCACTCGGAATGAGAGGAAAGGTGTCTTAAACTTTTAAAAAATGTTTTCGTTTTTAATAAGGGTTTTTTATTTCTGAAGGTAGGAATTCAGTGGTTTTTGTGAAATTAAATACAAAAAATTAAAAAGCATATATGACATTTTTAATCTCACCGTTGATAGACATCAAAATCTATGTATTCACAAGAAACACATTTGGTTTTTTGGAAAAAAATTATAGTTCACTCCAAATAGGCGGAGTTTTTGTTGTTGCGTAATTTCTTTACATCGGCTTTCAAACCCTCTCACTTTACTACTCATCCTCTTTTGACAGAACGATATGAAACCCATTTTAAACTGCTAGACAGGGGAGAGAACAACGCCAATAGCGCCCGAATGCTACTGGAATAATTGCTTTTCATGATTGCGTGAGTCCCTAAGTGATATAAACGACCTTACCCTACAACCTTAACCTAAAAATTATACAGCTTTGACGTTATTGTGCAAAATTTGCCTTTACGAGTGTTCTAAGTGTTCATAAAAGAAAGAGACAATGCCATTGATGATTAATAGTCTTAATTTTGAATGAGATTTAAAGTAATCCATACCTTCTGGGGAGGAGGCCAGAACTGAGGCAAACCACAAGAAATTAAAAATCACGATAACCTTCATGATGATCTTCGTGATTGTAATGAAATCAGTGATTGCCGACGCCTATTTAATAGGAACCAATTTTTTTACATCTGCTTGCTGTAAAAACAGTCATTAGCTATATTTGAATATCTACGCTTGAACCTTGCCCTTTTTTTGTGTTTTTCACTCAATTTAAAAAATCAGTTAGAGATATAAAAGTATTTGCAAAGGTGCATCCTTTGCTGTTTGCGTATAATTCAATTATGTTGTTGATTTGATGACTGCTAAATCACGCGATTACAATGACTTGAATTAAGAAACTTTCGTAAGGAAAGAAAAGCATTTTGAAACAAATTGATTTTGATGGATTCTTTACACAACTTGGTGAAGGTTCTTTGCTATAACTATCTCTCTTTTATTCTGTTCCATTAGTTCTGCATACAGGATGTTACGAATTCCCAAGTTCTTTGGAAATAATGGGGAATTAAAATGTTCTTGTAAAGCGGTGTCAATCATCTTAACAAAAATGTTAGCCTCAACGATAAACAATTCGTCACGTACGAAACAATTTGTCTTAGTGAAGTTAAAAAGAGCTTTGAGTTCCTCTATCCAAAAAAAAAAAGTAGAATGTAAAATGACGGTTATGTTTCTTGGGTTGCAAGATTTTTATTTTTATAGGGGGAAGACCACTTGATAATTGAGCCCTTCCCATTTTTCCTCATATTTGATTCATAAA